CTCCTGCTGCTGCTGCTGCTGCTGCTGCTGCTTGCTGTGCTGGAAGAGGTCGGCCAGGAACTCGTCGTTGAAGGCGCCCGGGTCGATGTAGGCGCTCAGGTCGATGGAGTTCTCGTGCTCGCAGATGTCCTGCAGCTCGGCGGCGGGCAGGTAGCCGCTGTAGCCGGGGCCCGGCGGCAGGTGGGGGCCGTGCGCGTGGTGGGGGCCGGCGGGCAGGTGCGCCGCGGAGGGCAGAGGCTGCTGCTGGTGGTGCTGGTGGTGCTGGTGGGGGCGAGGCTGCAGGGCGCTGCTCATCGGAGGGCGCGGGTCCGCCTCGTAGAAGTTGCTCAGCTCCATGGAGTCGCTAAACCGAGCCGCCGCGCATGGTGGGTGGGGGGAGCTCCCAGGCTCAGGCTGCCACCCGACTCACTCTGACGCGCGCAGGGCTGGAGCAGCTCTCCAGTCGACTCGCTCCCGGGCTGCCTTCTCCAGCCCTCGGCCTCCTATTTATACCCCTCCGTTTCCCTGCAGGGCCCTCTAGTGTCCAACCTCCTGGGTTTGCCTGGGAACTTTGACCGGCCTCGCCTCCTCCGCGCCCCGACGACGAGTGCTCCCCAACCCCCGGCCGCCGCCTCCGCCTCCGCCTCCTCCGGGCTGGCTGCCTGGACGGGCCGAGCGCCAGTCCCCTGGAGGCAGTTCGGGAGGCGCACGGACCTGCCTCGGAGGACGGAGGAATGGCGCTCCGGCGCGCGTCGGAGTCTCTCTGGGATGTCTCCACCGGCACCTTCGCTCGCGCGCGGGCGGAATACACCCCAGTCAGGCACCATTCGTTGCAGGCAAGCCCCCCTCCGATTCCGTAGCCTTGAAAGCCGCTCTTCAGCTCCCATGTGCTACCGAACCCGTTCCAAATCCACCCCAAAGCGCACTGTCACCATGCTCAGGGCACTACTCCACACTGCCCTGCTCTAGTGATGACGGTAAAAACGTCTCCCCTCCCCAGTCTGAGGCAGCCTGATCACAAGCCCAAGCCCAAGAACCCTTCCAGGCAATTAATTATAATAATGTTCTTCAGCAGAGCCTTTTTTGGGGGGGGGGGAAGAGATGCCAGAACTCTCAAGAGAGAAATGTTCAATCTGTATACTGAAAACTCACAAACTTTTAAACCTTTTAAAAAGAATTTTGTCGAAGAGGTTCCGGAACTCTGTTGCGGAGCGTTTCCCCAGGAAAAAAAGTCGTGCTTCTATGGCAATGTGTGTAGTATAACCAGGAGATCCAAAGATTGTCTGGCAGCCTTCAGTTCAAACTCTTTTAGCATTGTGTACCACATTATTTATTTGGGGGGCTGAGAGAGCTATGAAAGAGCTGTGACTGACCCAGGGTCACCCAGCTGGCTTCATGGGGAGGAGTGCAGAATCGAACCCGGTTCTCCGGATTAGAGTCCCCCTTGGCTCCTTCCAGGTCACCGTTGGGAATACATGGTGCTGTTGGGATCTTGGCCAGTCCCCCTTTAAATTTTTTCCTCCAAATTACCTGGCAGATTAAAGTTGTCCAGAGGCTTAGAGACCTGGGGGCACTGATAAGGCGTCTTCAGGAAGTGCTTAGAGAAGTCCAAGGTACTTTCAGCCAAGCATTCCAACGGGTGTGTGTGCGTGTGTGCATGTGCACGTGTGCTCGTACCAGCAGAAACGGGCGTTGCTCCAGCGGCCACTTAAAACACTCCATTGTTCCAGCCTTTAAGCTGCACACAAATAAATAAGCAACCTGTCAAACTAAGGCCACCTTCTCCAACTTTTAGGCATGTGTGGCCTGATCCCTTGTGGGTTTACTCAGAAGTAAGGCTTGCTGAGTTCTGTGGGACTGAGTCCCAAAGTAAGCACGCTTAGAATTGCAACCCTGCTGCCTGAAATATTGCACGCTTGCTCTGAAGTAAGTCTTTGCTGAGCTCCTTGTCCAGTACCTGTCCATAGGATATCACAGTGGCTACAGAGGCTGGGTTGATGGGTCTCCTAAATGATATATCCAGACCACTAAGAGACTTTATGAAAAGTACTATACACTCTCAAGCAGCAGAATACCCCCCACCATCTTATAAGGAGCTAGAAGGTGACCTGGATGGCCGAGGCTAGCCCAATCTTGTCAGATCTCAGAAGCTAAGCAGAATCAACCCTAGTTAGTACTTGGATGGGAGACCCCCAAGGAAGTCCAGGGTCGCTACTCAGAGGCAGGCAGTGGCAAACCACCTCTGCTCATCTCTGGCCTGAAAAACCTGATGGGATCACCATATGTTAGCAGCAACTTGGCAGCACTTTCTACCAGAGGATGCAGCCTGTCCTCAATAAGGTTTGGACCAGCTCCAATCGCACCCCCATGTTACCAGGAAACTGACTTCTGCAAGCTACCTCGCAGTGGCAGCTGCAGCAATTTCTTCCCATAGTTGTCAGATTTTGGCACCAGAGGCCACAGCAAATTTGTGCAAATGCTGGATTCTGACTCAGTCCAACAATTTAAAAAAAGGCTACACAGTGGCTGGGAGTTTTGACAAGCAGGCAATTTTCTGCCAGCTTGGCATCAGAAGTCCCTCCCTCTGCCAACAGGAGTAGTGCTTCCAAGTGTACAGATCGCATCAGAGACACTCCTGAAGTCCTCACAGTACCCCTGTAAGGTAGGCCAACGTGGTGCAAATGGCAGAGGCTACCTACACACAAACGGTTTGAACTGGGCTCTTCATGTTTGGAACTCTTAGGCACGCTGATATCATGAGCTCTTTCTATCATACTGAAGGAACCATTTTATCTTCATAACTGGTTCAAAATAGTGAGAACTGACTTTAAAATACAAAAGGATAGGTATCAGAAATTAAAGATTTCTTAGCTAACACCTTGTTTGGGTAATACATTTAGACAAGAACATAAGGAGTGTCCTGCTGGTTCAGATTAGGGGTCCATCGAGTCCAGCTTCCTGTCTCACACAGTGACAAACCAGCTGCCAACAAACAAGGCACAGAGGCTAAGGCCTTTCCATGATGTTGCCTTCTAGCACTTATATCATCATCATCATTAAGATTTCTACCCTGCCCTCCCAGCCAAGGCTGGCTCAGGGCAGCTTACATAAAACACTATATAAATTACAGCAGGGGTCGTTTCGTAGAAAAAGAGCTAGGGGAACTCATTAGCATAACTCATTAGCATATGCCACACCTCCTGACATCAGTGGAAGTGTGTCATAAGGGCTGGCGGGAGTGCAAGGAAGCCCCGCAAAGGCCCTCCCTGGTCCCAGGCAGGCAGGGGTGGGGAGAGGCGGGGAGGGAGCAACTTACCCTCCCTCTTCTCCTGCCTCCTCCTGGCTGAATGAGGGCCGGAAGCGGGGCGGCCGGAAGCAGGGGGCGGGGCTTCATCATGTGCCCCGCCCCCCGTACCTCACCAGGGGGAACGGTCGCCAAGTCGTTGCATTCAAGGAAGGGAACCAACTACCTAATCAACCAAAGATGATAAAAGCAACTCGACAGCAGCTGCTACCTGGGCCTCTATTGTTAAGGAGGCATCCAGGAGCACTCCCAGACTCCTAACCTCCGGCACTGGCACCAAAGAAGCCCCATCGAAGGTTGGGACCGCCCCGGCTCAGGCACAGGACTTTCGTCTTCGTCAGATTCAGTTTCAGCCGGCTCAGTCTGAGCCAGCCAGTCACAGCTTGTAACGCCCTGTCTAGGTCTTCCAGTTTGGAGTCAGACTGACTGCCCAACAACAGATAGAGCTGGGTGCCATCCACATACTGCTGACATCCCAGCCCATGCCTCCTGGCAATCTGGGCAAGGGGGAGCATGTAGATGTCGAAAAGCATTGGGGATAACACTGCCCCTTGAGGCACTCCACAATCCAGTGGGTGTCTCTGTGATCTTCGGCGACAGGAGTGCCCTGAAGGAGTAAGCCTTCTGAATGAATAGGGCCACAGGCTGGAAGGGGGTCGAGCTACTCTACTTCTCCGTCCCCTTCCCCTTAACCACATGCCTGGTCCCACTGTTGTACTGTCCCCTCCCCAGCAGCACTGGAATCGCTTGCCTGATCAGAAGTGTAATGCCTCTGGATGTTGAGGTTTGGGGATGTGAGCTAAGGATGTGGCTAGCAGCTATTGATGAACCTGTCCTCCCAGAATCTGCCTACCTCCCCCCCCCAAAGCCATCTACACTGGTGGCCATCACTGTTCCATAATGTAATTATTTAAGGGGTAAAGAAGTACTTCCTTTTGCCTGACCCAAATCTATTGCTCATCATGTTCATTGGGTGCCCCAATGAAGAAGAGGTGTGTTTGAGTGAGTGCGGGATACTTGTGAGGATCTGTCCCACAAAGAGCAATCCTAAGCAGATCTACTTGAAATCCTACTCGGGTCTAGCCAATGGGCTGACTCCCAGGAAAGTGTTCTTCAGTTTGCACTAACAGTTTGGTCCACAGCTATATTCTGGAGGCATGAGTCCGGAAAAAGTACTAAAGAGAACGGTGCCTGCATGGCCGTTGGAATACATTAGTTCCTTCCGAGTGACGACAGAAAGACACTTGGCTTCCAAATGGCCATAAAAATGAATTGAATTAAGGATTACTGATTAGTTGTTACACAGTGGTTTTTACAAGGCGTCCTCAAACCAGATGGCCAAATAAATTAATTGTCTGCCTAAATGACCATATAAATGTGTAAGGATCATTGGAATCCTGAATAATTCATTGACAGGGAAAAATCAGGAGCCTCTCGGTTGGTTACACGGAGACACAGTTGGCCCCCAAGGAACACAGGTGTCATTTCAGCCAGTTTCTCAAGAAATCTTAACTCCTATATGGAATTTGCCTGGTCCAGGCATGGAGAAAAATGACATATTCAGAGGTTCCCAAACTTATTTTGCCTACTGCCCCCTTTTCAGAAAAAAAATTACTCAGCGCCCCTCTGGACATCTATCTTCAAGAAGTGGACAAAAAGATGCAGTTTATGGATCTGCACCCGGATTGTTCCAGCCCACCTGGATCGTTCCAGTGCCCCCAAGGAGGCAGTATTGCCCACTTTGGGAACCAGGGGACTGATACAAAAATTACGTAAATATATTATTTCAATTCCCTTTCCTGGAACCCGCCAACCAAACTGTGCCGGGGCAATTAGCCACGCCTTCCCCAGCGATATCCAGCCTGTGTGACCGGGGCCTGTGTAGATTTTTTTAAATGTTGCTTTGGCATCAGCTACCACCACAGCCCAAGGATCGTCACTGTGTGACTGAAGGTAAGCTGTGGCAGGCATCTTGTGGCTTGGCTCCTCCTCCTGCTTCAGCCATTTTGTTCCTGCACCTGCCACACTGTGTCGTTATTCCAAAGGGGCCTGCAGGCTCAACAAGGTTGGGGACCCACGAGCCAGAGAGCTTCTTTCCCCATTTTTCATAAAGGCACAGGCTCTTTTCTGGACCAAAAGCCATGGGCACCCAATGCAAAACTTCAGGA